ATCACCCCTAACCACCTCTGCCTGCCTGTTTGATCACCCCTAACCACCTCTGCCTGCCTGCCTGATTGCCCCTAAACGTCTCTGCCTTGCCCCATGCCCGGGACCCAGGATTCCCTCCCTCTGGCTGGCTGCAGGCACCCAGGACCCAGGCCAGCTTCCTCCGGGCTGGCCACAGCCACAGGGGACCTGTGGGCGGGTGCCTTCACCCGGGCCACAGCCGCAGGCACCCAGGACCACAGAGCGGACGGCTTGTCCCTCTCCCGGGCCACAGCCTGGCTGGTGCCCATTCCTTTCTCACGAGCTCATTTGTGCCTGGCTGGTCCTGATTCTTCTCATTTGTGCCTGGCTGGTGCCCATTGCTCTCTCCCCAGGGTTGAGTGTCTGAGCCTTTAAGGTGTGACGGCAGGGGGGTGATGACCATTTGCATATTAGCTCTTTATTATGCAGGACTGTCCTTAGACTCTCCACACCTATGTTTTCATATGCTCGTTGCACAGTATCTTTCCACTATCCCATTAATACCCCAAACATGTTATGTAAATTAATGGAGTGAATTACTGGCCCCTAACATTCTTCCTGCCACTAAAATATAGTCTTTGATTTATCAGATGGAAAACATTCTTCTTTCTTCACAATACTTCTCAAAACTACTTTCTCCTTCAGAAATCAGAACTTTCAATTCATTCCTGCATGGAAATTATACAGGACTCCAATCCATAGGAGGTTATTATGGGAAAGGATGCAAAGTGCAGTATAGGAAATATAGTCAATAATATATATATATATATTCACTATGTATGGGGTCCGATGGGTTCTAAGCTCAATGGGAAGATCACCTCATAAGTTATATAAATATCTAACCACTGTGTTGTACACTTGAGATGAATATAATATTGTCAACTGTAATTAAATTGTTTTAATTTAAAAATAAAAAATAGATGCAATGGCAGAAGTTGTACATGCACAAATTTTAAAGTCACTAGATTAAAATTAAACTGGTTTAACTAGTTTCTTCACTATCACAATCCTGCACTATGAAGCTCCATGAGGGCAAATTTGAATACAGTGTTTTTGAAACCCATTGTAACCAATACTTTTTTCTTGGGATGTAGTGATAGCTCCCTGAATAATAATCTCCAAAATATCAGCTTAAATTGATGGGTTAGCTAGTACCGTCTGAAAGTTTTTATAATAATGTATACCTAAAAGATACATATGCACTTTCCAGTCTCAATATAGTCATGTTTTATTTTTATATTAGATAAAGTTATTTTTACATTTATTATATAAAGCTATTTATGCTAATCATTGTGTTAATTATAAAGCATACAATTAGGATTTCTATGAATGACGTAAAGTAAAAATGAGTAGATGTTGAAATATTATCTCTCCCACCCAGTAAGTTATTCTCTGTGTCCCCTCTAAGGCATGAGCACTCCTCTCTGGAGACCACTGAAGCAGACTTAAAAAAAAATGCTCCTAATCAAAAAGGCTCCTCCCACCCACCTAAGGCCTCTCCCACTTCGTGAATTTAAGATTACTGATTATATATGAAATATAGATTTCAGTGTAGAATTTAGGTTTATGAGATTATTTGGACAAAATTCAATTTTCCATGGAATGCTTATTTTAATATATTCTCATGAAAGAAGCATATGTTGATTTTAACAAACACCGGGACCTCCATCTGTTACTGTGATCACCTCCTCTTTCAGATGATTTTACATATCACTTACCTACTCTTCTCAGAGAAGTTGACATGATAACTTAGATTTTCTCACTTTAATACCACTGAAAAGCGTTTTAAAAATGCCTCTCCTCTACCAAGAAGAACCCATTATTCAGGGTCCATGCTATATATATATATATATAAAATGTTCAAGGACGATGATAAGATCTCTAAACATTCTCTAAATGTTTGCAAACCCCATCTTCTTCCCAGGCACTGAGGGGGCGCCAATTAGGAGGAATCCAGCCGGAAACGTGGCTAGACCAATGGTGCAACGTCTTCCTGAACCACAGGATGTCGCTCAGTGCTTAGAAGTTGGTTTATTTGACACACCTCCTTTTTATTCCAACTCTACAAACAGTTTCCGAAACACAGTGGAAGGCCACAAAAAGAAGTTTCCAAAAATAAATATGCTGACAGTCATCCAAAGGGAATAATATAGGAAACGAAAGTAACACCTGGCAATTTAAGTTCCAGGACAATCAGAATGGTCTCCCAATTGTGTCAGCAGTTTTCAGTAGAAGCTAGAGATTTCCACTGTCATATAGAACGATGTTTGCCTTGTGGAAATAGAGTATTCTATGTATTTTGATTGCTATCCTTTGCAGGTCATTATTTTTAACCTGGAGGCTACATTTAGAATGCCATGCCACTAGTTTAAAACCAGCCTAGTTCTGGATATAGCAAACAAATGTCGCTAACCAAAGGTACAGAGAAATAATGCTATTATGTTAAGGTAAAAACTGTCCTGGCAAGCTTGGGAAAAACTGTTGCGCAGTGTAATCACTGCTGTTGACTTGACATGTAGAATATCTGTAATGATTTTTACTATTCTCATTCTATTTTTGTATCTAGGTTACAGTGATCCCATGGGAAGGTATGATCCTGCTGTTCGAAGCCTCCACAATTTGGCTCATCTATTCCTGAATGGAACAGGGGGACAAACCCATTTATCTCCAAATGATCCTATTTTTGTCCTCCTGCATACTTTCACTGACGCAATCTTTGATGAATGGCTGAGGAGATATAATGCTGGTGAGACATTTTTATATGCTTTTCGCAGGCTCAGCAAAAAAAGACTGTTCGGATAGCACAGTTATCACTTCAGGCTAAGCACTTGACACACATGAACTACATTTCAAAATAAGGCGAAAATAGCTCTATTATCTAGCCATTTCCAAATACGCCAAACCACTTTGACAAGGCAGACAAGAAGTCTCTCAGAATTGCAATAGTAAGATGATATTTACTAGCATTCAGTAGAACCAAGCAGTTAATCCCTTCTCATTTTTACTGTTTCCCAAATTTTTCTTCCTCATATCTTCCAATGAACATTCTCACTGCTTTTTAATATAGACGGGACATTCTTATAGAGCTCTTCTTTGATACTCCAAGAGAGAAAAAATATTACACTCATAATCCATAGTTTTGATTTTATTACTTTATGAACTCTCACAAATGGAAATTTTGCTCAGCTTGAAAAGATGATGTTGGTTTTTATATCACACCATAGAAAATCTCCTTTTAAGTTCATTTTAAGAGATTCTTAAACTCTTATTTACAAGGTCACTTTCTCTTTGCTTCTACTCGGCTGAGAGACTTACATTACTTTTTCTTTTATTTAATTCTTTCTCATTACTTTTCAATGTTGTTCCTCTGGTTAAAACATCATAAATTTTTATATTTTAAAAGTGTCCTAAATGTTGACTTCTGTGCCTTTATTTCATCATGCATATAAACATAATATTTGAGATTAACTACCTATTCATTTATCCACCCAATTCAACCAGTCCCTTATTTTCTTGTATGTGTTTGTGTGTATACAGTAGAAGTTCTTAATTCAACCTGATTAAGACCATTAATTGATGAGTTGATCAAAATAGTATGTTCCATTATTTGTAACCTGGAGGCTACATTTAGAATGCCATGCCACTAGCTTAAAACCTAACTCCAGATATAGCAAACAAATACCGCTAACCATAGGTGCAGAGAAACAACGCCATTATATTAAGGGAAAAACTGTCCTGGCAAGCTTAGGAAAAATTGTTGCTCAGTATAATCACTGCTGTTGACTTGACAAGTGAAATATTTTTAATGATTTTTACTATTCATCAAAAAATCATTTAACAAGTGGATAACTTACATACAAATATTGGTTCATTTATCAATCTGCTATGAATTCACTGATTGTAGTTCCACCTCATTTTCATGCATATTTATGTACATACATATGACTATAATGCATTATCTATAATAAAGAGAGATGGGGAGCCATCAAAGGGTCTTGCATAGAAAGGTTACATTATAACCCAATTGCTATGGCTTGTTATTTTTACTATTCTTTCTCCATTCATTTTAAATAGATATAACTTAATCACACAGCTGAAGCTGACATGGGTAAGGCTGATCAAGTGAAGGTGGAATGGGAAGTTTACAAATCCAACTTATTCATTTGAATAAATAATTTCCAGCAATAGACCAACATGTCAGTTCCTTGAAGACAGGAATTTTGTCTCTGTTTTGTCCAAAGCTATAGCCCCATGCCCAGACCAGGAGCTCAACAGGTGTTACTAGATAAATACTTAAGCGTCAAAAATATAAACACTACCTGCCATTTCTAGAATCAATTGTTCTTCAAACTAGATTCTAAAATTCTCTTCTGTGCTTCATGGAAACACACGGACTGTCCAGGTAACAGACTTCTCACAAACACAATCTGACACTTCACTAGCATTCTCACATATCCCAGCTCTTCTCAACATATTCCCACTCACGTAGTGCCCACGCCCACTTGCAACTCTGGTTTTGTAACATTCCATCTGGTAATTAATTGTACCAACATATAGAACAGCAACAACAACAAACAACAACTTTTGCCACAAAGGACATTTCAGTACCTTTATCCCTTAGGGCAAAACTCACCGATGATATAAATACCTGCAACTTGTATTTAAATAGAACAGTCCCTCTTTATGTACAGGGGAAATGTTCCAAGAACCCCAGTGGAGGCCTGAAACTGTGGATAGTAGTGAACCCTAGAACTGCATGCACTATGCTTTTTCCTATAGGCACATGCCTATGGTAAAGTTTAATGTATAAATTACACACAGTATAGATTCACAATAACTAGCAGTAATATAGAATTATAACAATATATTTTAATAAAAGCTATATGAATGGCTTTGGTGCAGTTACCTGAACACAAGCGCTACAATAGCACAAGGCTGATTGATCACTGAGAGGCAGCTAAGTGACCAACGAGCTGGTAGCCTATACTGAGTGGATATGCTAGGCAAAGGGATAATGCACTTCGTGGGCAAGGCAGAGCAGGAGGGTCAAGATTTCATCACGCTACTCAGAACTGACCACACTTTAAAACTTATAAATTTTTTACTTCTGAAATTTTCCATGTAATATTTTCAGACCACAGTTGACTGTGGGTAACTGAACCGTGGATGACAAAACCATGGGTCAAGGGAGACTACTTTAGAAAAAGGAGAGGTAGCAGGAAGCAAACAGGATTCCAAGACCAGGATTCGAAATCTTAAGTGTTTTTTGTTAACAAAGTAAAACCTGAGGAACAAGTTAATATTTATTTCTCTAAAAGTAAACAGAAAAAAAGAAAATATACTAAAGAGAAACATTCACAGTCAAGGAAAGCCTCCATTAGAAACTATCTCTCAAATTTAAATCATAGATGATGTTACAGCGAACTATACAGACCCATCTTTTCTTTACCTTTGAAAAAATAAGTTTAATTAATTTTATTCGTATTTGTTTCTGTAATTTAAAAGTGAAATAATTAATGAGCGTCAAAGATGACAAAATACTAAAACATGCCAGCTTTTGAACTTTCTTTTTCTCTCAGATAATACATTAATTAGTGCTGTACTCAAGGCATTTGAAATCTGCTTTATGCAATTTCCTGTTCTGCTGTAGAACTTATGTCTTTATTCACTGTAAAATACGAAAGAATGTTTTTAATGTTATGCTTGAATATTTCAGAACACCTTCAGAATATAACCATATACTAATATTAATATGGTGTTCCTGGCATATTTTAGATATATCCACATTTCCGTTGGAAAATGCCCCTATTGGACATAACAGACAATACAACATGGTGCCATTCTGGCCTCCAATTACCAACACTGAAATGTTTGTTACTGCTCCAGATAACCTGGGGTATACTTATGAAGTTCAATGGCCAGGTGAGTATTAAAAATGTATTTTTACTGTGGAAATTTTCAAAAACAATATGTTACCTTTAAAAATAAACTAATCACAGTATTCTTGAGGCTGACATGCCCCACCTGCATTTAGAAACGTTCATTTAGATCTTCATTTGGGAATAAAGAGAGTGAACTTCACATTTGTTGCCAGCCCACTGTGACCTGGTATTGTGCTGATTATGTAGCGCACTATCTCATTTAATCCTCGCAGCCCTCTGTGACAGTGTCACCATCCTGATTTTCCAAATACGGAAGACAAGGTTTAGCGAGGGCAACTGTCAAAGGTCACATGCTTAGTAAGCAGAGAAAATGAGTTTTGCGCTTAGCCCCCTACTTTTTCTACAATATAATGTGCCTCCGTTTATCCTTAAAATTTTTTAAAAAAATGGCATGAGGTACTCTGGGCTGTCCTTTCTGAGATTTTGAAATGCAAAACCTTCTTGTTTAATTTTAAATTTATTTTTCAAGAAAATAGAATACAGTGGAAGAGCACAGGACTTGGATTCCGAAAGACCTGTGCTCCAAACCCAATTCTAGTATCTACCAATTAAATGACCTTGGGCAAGTGACATAGACTCTGAGCCATTATTTCCTCATGTTTAGAATGAAAATACCTGTCCTAATGGAATCTACTCATTATGAGAAATTAGAAAGTGCCTCCAAGATGACAAGTGCTATACTAGACAATGTAGCCAATAAAACTTAAGGATGAGGATTTCAGTAAAGTGCCTAAATTTAGTATCCAATTTTTGGTGGCAACTCTTAGCAGATTTATTTTTTGCTCTTGTTTTATTTTTCACAAAGGTCGGAGTTTCCATATTTCTGAGATTATTACCATAGCGGTGGTTGCTGCTTTATTGCTGGTTGCAGTCATTTTTGTGGGCGCTTCTTGTCTGATTCGTGCCAGAAGCAACATGGATGAAGCCAATCAGCCTCTCCTCACTGACCAGTATCGACACTACGCTGAAGAATATGAAAAAATCCCGAATCCTAATCAATCTATGGTCTAACTATAAAAAACCTATTGTCTTACACCCTAGTCTTACAAAAGCTCTGGCTGAAAAATAATAGATTGAGTTACTAACTGTATTTTCTTTCACTCTGTTCCTTTCTTCCTATGCACATGTTGGAATTAAAGCTCCAGGAATCACTTTCCAGAGCTGGGAAGAGTCACAACATTTTCCTTTTTATTTCAAACAGTAGGTTGCACCCACTCCATGGTGTTTAAGCAGAAAGTGTCAAGATTTTTGGCATGTCTTAAAGGTCAATTATATGACAATGTAAATAAGCTGCTTTTACTTTGTTTAAAAATCATAAAGAAAAATCAGGATTGATTGAAAATTCCTGATTAAAATACATGAGTAGGCATTTCTACAGTATTAAGATGTAAATATATTTCCATTCATTGACACTGACCAACAGATGTAAAGAAAGCCGCATTTATTAGTCAAAATAATTTACGTGGAGTTATAAATGGGACTCCAATTAACTTCTTCAAAATGGTCTTCCCCTTTGGGGACCAGCATATTTAGTGTAAGGTTCCAGACCAAAACAAATCGCAATCTTTGTCTCACTTTAGAGAGATAAAAGCTTCACCTTGTTTAAGAGATAATTGATGCCGAAACCGGTTTGGCTCAGTGGATAGAGCGTCAGCCTGCAGACTGAAAGGTCCCAGGTTCGATTCCGGTCAAGGGCATGTACCTGGGTTGCGGGCACATCCCCAGTGGGAGATGTGCAGGAGGCAGCTGACCGATGTTTCTCTCTCATCGATGTTTCTAACTCTCTATCTCTCTCCCTGCCTCTCTGTAAAAAATCAATAAAATGTATTTAAAAAAAAAAGAGAGAGATAATTGATATTGCCTGTCTCCTACCTCTCAATGTGCTGAAAAAGGAACTACCCATCCATGCATTTCACCTCCCAATTCCTCTTCTAATAGCTGAGATCCACAGGGGGGCATAGAGGTGAAGAACCTGCATCACAGTGCTCTACAAATAGCATTCAGTTAGTTGTGTTTCGTTCAAATAGCTTCCTCTTATCACTTGTCAGACTTTTCTGTGTTTTCAAATAAAATATTTCATTGGTCCTCTGTATTTTTATCTTTTCAATTTTTATTTTTTTAATGTTTTTATTAAATTGAGAGAGAAAAAAAACATTGATCTGATGCCAGAACCGGTTTGACTTACTGGATAGAGCATCGGCCTGCGGACTCAAGGATCCCGGGTTCGATTCCGGTGAAGGGCATGTACCTTGGTTGCAGGCACATCCCCAGTGGGAGGCCTGCAGGAGGCGGCTGATCTATGTTTCTCTCTCATCGATGTTTCTAACATTCTGTCCCTCTCCCTGTCATTCCTCTCTGTAGAAAATCAATAAAACATATTTAAAACAAACAAACAAAACAAACAACAAAAAAAACCCACATTGATCTGAGAAACATCTATCTGCTGTCTCCTGCACTGGGGATCGAGCCCACAACTGAGGTATGTGCCCTGACCAGGAATCACACTGATGAGCCACACGGGCGAGGACTGGTCCTCTTTTTTTATGTAGTTCTGCAAGAGCGTCATTCTTTATCTTTCTATCTATCATACTTTTTTTTCTCTTTTTGATCTGATACTGAAACAATATTCCCAATGAAGAACTCTCTAGGCTGGTAGCAGTAAACAAATATTTTAATTAAAATTGGTAAAAAGTAAATAGTAACAATAGTATTCATACACTATTGAAAATGGCTAGTCTGTTATTTCCAACTCAATAAACAAAGCAAGACTAAAGTAACGTATACCTGATTGGTTACCAGCTTTTCCTACATCAAGCAATCTTAAGGCTATATTTAAAAGATAGACAAAATGTGTGAATAAAATAGAATGCATATAGGAATAGCATATTTTTAACTTGCAAATAGCAGCACTCTATTTTCTTGTAATACATTTTGATTTACATACTCATGGCTTTTCAGAAAAATTATTGTATAAGATTTTTTTTATATAACCATTAATGAAACTAAGTCCCACACTTCATATTCTTGAAGTTAATAGTTGTTTATATAAATAATTGTCCATTTTATAAATATTTATTAAGCACATATAGGTTCCAAACATAGTTCAAGGTAATGTTGATTTGAGAAAGGGAAATTCAGAAATGTTAAAGAGAGAAGGTCACATTTGACTTGGGCCTCAAGGAATGCCAATGAATTTACCAAATATAAGGTTTGAGAAGGGCTTTCTATGCAAGAGTGACAGCATTAGCAAAGTAAAAGAAGTTTGAAAAAGCATGAAACATTTAAAAACATAAAGTAGGTCAGTGTGCTTAGAGCACAGTTTTTATGGAGGAGAGTAGAAACATAAATTAGGAATAAAATCAGTGTCATATATGCAATCCTAAGAAATTTAGAATTCGTTTTATAGGTAAGAGGGAATAGGGGCAAGTCACAATTAAAGTGTGTTTAGTAAAGATAATAATGCTGGTGGTGATGTTTGTAAATAATCTTGGCTAATGGTAAGAGCAGAGACTAAGAGACTAGTTAATATTGAATAAGTCATGAGAGAAAGATGACTAGTCTCAAAATATAAACATTAATTTTAAGAAATTCTAAGTATAAGTGAAAGATACACCCATTATCTTATAAATATAGCTTTGATAATTTATCCCTAAATGTGATGCTTTATTTTTCTTTCATTTAAGACCTTTTTTCTATTTATTTTACAGTTCTGTAAGATCTTGATCAAGTGACCATCACTTTTTCTATAATATTCTACATTATTCATTGCAAATAATATTCATTTGTGATCTCGGATATTTCCAACTGATCTCAGTCTTCCAGTTCTCTTATAAAACACTAGAGGCCTGGTGCACAAAATTCATGCACAGGTAGGGTCCCTAGGCCTGGCCAGTGATCAGAGCTGATTGGGGCCTTCTGGCTGCCGGCAGGGGTGGTCAGCGCACGTCATAGCGAGTGATCAAACTCCCAAAGGGACACTTTGCATATTAGCCATTTATATATATAGACTAGAGGCCCGGTGCACAAAAATTTTGTGCACTCAGCGGAGGGGAAGGGAA